GGAAAGGGGTGTGGGGGATGCGAGAAGAGACTGGACAAAAATCGTGCACCTATGGATGAGGACAGTGGGTGGGGAGTGAGGGCAGAGGGTGGGGTGGGAACTGAGAGGAGGGGAGTTATGGGGGAAAAAGAGGAACAAATGTAATAATCTGAACAATAAAGATTTAATTAATAAAATAACAAAAAGATTTGAACACATAAAAATAAATAACTACTAAAAACCATTCAGAATGATGAGAAAATCTACAATGACTAATAAATTAGAATATCAATACATATAAAACTCCTTATTAATCAGTTTTTAATCAATGACAAACTACATACCAATATGAAACAACCTACACAAGAACAATGGGATAACCAATTCATGATAATAAAAACCCAAACAAATGGACATTTATACATGAAAAAATGCTATCTCACTAAAATTACTAGAAATGTAAATTAAAAGATATATTTTTTTGCCAAAAAAGTATCAATATTGACTATAGTATAAAGGGTGTCAGACATCATTGATGAATGCACTGAAAGCCTTCTCAAAGGCAATTTGGTATCACCCTCCATATGTAAAATCCAAGTCCATTTCAAGAACTCTATCCTACATAAATACATCTTTGCACAAAAGTTACTAAAGATATATGCTAAGGGTGATCTGCAACATTGTTAGTAATGGGGGGCACCCAAATTTCCCTCAATAATAATTATAGTTAAATTAGAGGCCCGGTGCATGGGATTCATGCACTGGCGGGGGGCATGGCCTGTGGGGATTGGCCCGCTGTGGGAGCTCCGCTCATCTCAGTTAGCTGAGCGGCTGTGGGCCTGCCCTCTGAGTGGCACTCCCACTATGGGAGCGCACTGACCACCAGGGGGCAGCTCCTGCCTTGAGCGTCTGCCCTGTGGTGGTCAGTGCATGTCATAGCAACTGGTCAACTGGTTGGTCTGGTTGTTCCACCATTCGGTCGCTGGGCTTTTATTACATAGGATAAATAATGGTACATGCTTAGTATACAATATAATTATTTTAAAAGATGTGACTGATCCATATATTCTGGCATAAAAAGATATTCAAGGTATATTGTTGAGTGAAAAAATGAGGTCACAGAAAAATATATTGTATAACATCCAAGTTAAAAAATATATACACACTTAAATATGTGCTGTATATAATAAGTATTAGTAACTTCAATAAAACATTCTGAAGGGATAGTTATAAAACTTTTTATAATGGCTATTTAGGAAGAGGAAAATGAGACTTAAAGAGACAGACATTCAATAGGATGGCTCTGAAAATGAGCTTTCAAATTTTACTCCAAATTTTGCTGTATAGCTTGAATTTAAATAAGCATAAATGCATTTATTATGCATATTTAATTTTTAAGAACAGACATACACCCAAATGTTAACAATGCCTACTCTAGATCACTGAATTTCTAGTGATTTTTAATTTATTTTTAAATTTGCTTAACTATGTTTTATAATTACATGATGTCTACCAATACAGTATTGTTTAAAGTTTTTTATGTATTTATACAATTTGTACACATTTAAACTACAGTGTAAAGAAACTGGTAAACTCACATTGGAGAAACAAAGTAGCTGGTGGACACAGAAGAGACTTTCTCTTCTGAATCCCCTTTGTGCCTTTTCCTGTGCCTTATTTGTGTGTATCAGCTATTTAGAAAAGTAAGAAAAATTATACTTTTAAAAAAGAGATCCGGTTTGATTTCAATTTACTGACATATTGATAAATGAAAAAAACATTTAATAAAATGGTAGTTGATCCAATTTTATTTTATAAAATGTGAGTATATATGATCAGGAAAAATGGTTGCATCACTGGATCAATGATTTCCAGGAGCGGAGGGTGGGGGATAGAATTCAGTGCAAAGGGGCATGAGGAAACCCATTTGGGGTGATGGAAGTTATTCCGTGTCCTGGTTTGGGTGAGGTATACAGCTCTATGCTGTTAAAAAGTCGATTATTATTAAAGGTAAATTATACCTCAATGAATACCCACCTCCACCACCACCATCAAAAAAGTTTTATATGGCTGTATACCAAAACAAAAACAGCTTATTGTGGTGGATTAGATTATTCAGAAAAGCTCACTCTCTCACTCCCCACTCCCATGGGAGTCTATTTCTCTGTTCCAATGTTGTTGGGCCAAGCCTTATGACTTAGACTCATGGTAGGCCATGTTTCCTTGACCTTTGACTTAGGGTTTAGGCCCATTCTTGCAAGCTTGTGCTCATTCTTCTGCATCTCTGTCAGCACCATAAGAAAAGCTTTCCCGCAGGTGACTGCTGGCCCTTCATCTAGGACTTCAGAATGAATACACAGGGAGCAGATCAGAGCCTTGCCCACAACAAGCAAACCCAGCCAGTTCTGCGGTTTGAACAAAAGCTGCCAGCCACGCCCAACCAACCCCCAGATACATGAGAAATAAGTGTTTATCGGTGAATGCTACTAGACTGTGTGGTTGTTTGTTCTGCAGCATTATAGTGACAATATATTACCTTTGGGTAAGGGAGTGATAATGAGTTTTGCCCTATTTCCCTGTATTTTTTTTCCTACTTAGTAGGGATTTTAGCATGTATTACTTTTATAATCAGGAAAAAAGCTATATCCCCCATGAGAAAAAGAGAAAGGTACAAACAAGGTAATGCACATATACATACTGTTTTAAGTGATCATTGGCGAGAGCTATTCTGTCTCTGCGCTGTTTCCCCGCTTTCTCCCGTTCTTCCTCGAGGGCTTTCTCAATGTTGAGTTTCAGTTGTTCCTCCCATTTTTTATCAGATTTTATTCTACTCTTTTGGGATTCAATCTGAGCGTCGCGTTCTTTCATCACTCTACTAAGAAGAAGTCCTGACTACAAAAAAAAAAAAAAATTACAGTACTTTACGAAAATAAAATCCAATTGTGTATGAATATGTTAAGTGTATATAAAAATACAAGAAAACCCGAGTCGTACATGGAAGTTTTTCAGCCTTTCTGTCTGGTAAAATTGATATTGCTTTGCATGTTCAATGGCCTTTCTTCTTTCTCCTTGTTTGTATATCGCTTCTTCCAGGTCAAGAATTTGTCTTTCGGCCTCTATTTCTTCGTCGCGCTTCTTTTTGGCTTTAAGTTTTTGTTCTTTTATCCCCTGCAAAAATGACCAAAGCAGTCATCTGTTTTCATTTTTCAATTAAATTTTACAAAATTGAACACTGTAACTTTGAACTTTCATTATGAGTCTTTATTGTATTTGCATTATCATTAATAAATAAAATAAGAAGTGACACTCATGAGCTAATTTTTAATTGAACTTTTTAGGTAGGTAACACAGTTATATGGTTGAAAACCCGAAAATACTATAAATGTATACAGTGAAACTCTCCCTCCAATCCTAATTTACATCAGCAATCTCTAAGACAACCACTATTATTAGTTTCTTGTGTTTACTTCAAAGTTCCTTTATATATTTACATAATAATATATAAGCATACATCATATGATTCAGCTATTCTACACCAAGATATTTACCCAGGAGAAATGAAAGCATATCTCCATACATAGACTTACACGTGAAAGTTCATAAGCAGCTTTTTGAAAAAATATATATTTTTATTGATTTCAGAGAGGGAGAGGAGAAACAACATAAAAGAGAATCATTAATCGGCTGCCTCCTGCACACCCCCTACTTGGGATCGAGCCCGCAACCCAGGCATGTGCCCTTGACTGGAATTGAACCAGGGACCCTTCAGTCTGTAGGCCAAAGCTCTACCCACTGTGCCAAACCGGGTAGGGCAGCAGCATTATTTATAGGAGCCTGGAAGCAGCTCAAATATCAACAATTGAACACATAAACAAACTGTGGTATATATCCATACATGGGAACACCACTTAGCAATAACAGTGAGTGAATAATTGACACACACAACAACATGAAAATATTTCATGTTGAGTGAAATTTATAATGAAAAGCAGGTCAGTAGTTGCCTAGAGACAGGAGACAAAGTGCGGGGGAAGAGTGAGAGGGAGTAAAATGGGCTATGAATAAACTTTTCTGGGGTGATGAGTATGTTCATTTTCTTAATTATAATGATGGTTTCAGGGGTCTATATGCCAAAACTTATCAAACTGTACACTTTAAATATATCCAATTTATTGCATGTCACTTACACCTAAATAAAGGTGTTAAAAATGTGTTTCAATGCATTTTTATATATTATAGGAAAAATATATTTTTAAAAAATATATTTTTATTTATTTCAGAGAGGAAGGGAGAGGAAGAAAGAGATAGAATCATCAATGCTGACAGCGAATCATTGATTGGCTGCCTCCTGCACACCCCTTACTGGGGATTGAGCCCACAACTCTGGGCATGTGCCCTTGACCAGAATCGAACCTGGGACCCTTCAGTCCACAGGCTGATGCTCTATCCACTGAGCCAAACTGGCTAGGGCTATATGTAAAAATATTTATAAGAGTGCTAAGAAAAAAAGTAAGCCTTCAGTGCTTATGTACTCCCGGGTGGTTAATACTTACTGCATATGTTCGAGCCCAATGTTTTACCACTTCTTGGGATCGGAGATGCATTTCTTTCTTTGCCTTTCTTTCTGCGCGAAGGCATGCTGCTTTTCTTGTCATACCATCAATGCTATCTCGAATCCTTTCCCACTCATTGTGTGGAATTATGGTGACCTGCCGGAGATCTACTTTGCTAGGTAAAAGAGGTGGATAGAGAACTTGTTCTTCGTTGGAGTTCTTTATTTCTAATAAAGTGTTAAAAATGAATATTAAAAACTTTCAAGAAGAGCGTGATATTTTTTTCTCAGACATTTCTATATAGGTATATCTAGAAATTATTTGAAATAATAATTATAATCTGGTTATCTTAAGAGAAGCTGGGATTAAATGGAAAGATACAACACCTTGAAATCAAAAGACATAGATTTGAGTCCTTGTTTAGTCATTTCCTTAGTGTGTAAACTTGGGCAAGTCATTTAACTTCTTGGAGTCTTGGTATCAACATTTTTAAAGCTGACATCAATAATACCTACCCAACAGGTTGTTATAAAAGCATTTTTCAATTTAACCACGTAGGAGTTTATAAATGGACTAGAGACCCGGTGCACAAAATTCGTGCGGGGGTGGGGGGGGCGGTGTCCCTCAGCCTGGCCTGCACCCTCTTGCAATCCGGGACCACTGGCTCCTAACAGCTCATCTGCCTGCCTGCCCGCCTGATCACCACTAACCACTCTGCCTGCCTGCCTGATCGCCCTTAACCACCTCTGCCTCAGCCCCCATCACCGCGGCTTCATCCCTAAGGTCGTCCAGAAGGTCATTCAGTTGTCTGGTCTAATTAGCATATTATGCTTTTATTATTATAGATAACTTTGGAAATGTTCACCTCTTGGGATTGTAGACATTATAACTGACTCTATTCAATCCCTTCCTAACTGAGTACCAGCAATGTAATTTGGAGAACTGACTACAGTTTCCAGGGTGGGCCTCATTAGTTTAACAATACTTGCATCTCCCTTGCCAATAATTATTTCTATAATAAAAAAAAACAGGAGAAGAGGTTTATTTGAAACTTTTAGAAAAGTTCTTTCTTGTTCTTCTGGTAAAGATATCTGAGAGTTACTCTCAAGCTATATATGAACAAGGAAGCATGAAGGCCAGATAGGCACCCATCCTAGGACCACAAAAGGAAGCAGCCGTATAGAAAGCTGTTACTGTGAACAACGAGGTGGAAAAAAGAAAGCACCTGGAACAATGAGGATCTCATTATACTGCCAGTTCAATCAGATCAACCAGACCTGAAGCCTGGAGTTCCTTAGTCAGTGGTGAACAGGCTCTGGATGGAAGCCGTGGAAGGAGAGCTGTATGTCAGAAGCTATGTGGTGCACAATGGGATCCCTCCCCTGGGACATCCCAAATCTTCAGTAGGGTAACTGCACTCATGAGATGTTTTATTCAAGATCTTTTGTTGTTGTTGTTAATCCTCACCCAAGGATATTTTTTCCATTGATTTTAGAGAGAGAGGAAAAGGGGGAGAGACACACAGAGAGAAACATCGAGTGAGAGAGACACATCAATTTGGTGGCCGGGGATCAAATCCACAACCGAGGTACGTGCCCTTGACCAGAATCAAACCCATAACCCTTCTCAGTCAGCGGTTCAATGCTCTAATCATTGAACAACCAGCTAGGGCTTATTCAAGATCTTTTCATGGACTCTGACTCAAGAAGAGAACCAAGAGCACAAAAGCAGTAGAAATGGGCAAGCATAAAGAAATAAGAGAACCCACAGAAAATCTGGGAAAGTTTTTTGACTTTCGAGGCCACTGAAGTTGGGACAAGTTCCCCCATCTCTCTGAGGATAAGGAGCTCTGATTGACATCAGAGCTACAGATGATCTCACACATCCATGCTCTAATTCACTGGATTGATGTACAGTTCACTCCTCTAAGGCCACTCTTATTTCCAAGATCCCTTCCTCACAGTGGCTCTCACACAATGCTAGTAGTGGCTGTTCCAGAAATTAAACAGGCCACAGTTGAAAGAAGGAACAAGAAAAAAGAGATGGACATAGAAAGAATATGACTCGACAGTCTCATGGAGTAGAGAGGGGACAAAAGCAGTGGCAAATGACCTACGGATATCTAAAATCAGTCCATGAGCTGTCATCGTTAACACACTGTCCGTGGCTTACAAAACCTCTCTTTTTAAATTGAGATATAGTTCACATATCATAAAACTCACCATTGTAAAGGGTAACATTCAGTGACTTTTAGTTTATTCACAAAGCTGTGCAAACATCACCACTAATTCCAGAACATAAGTTTCTTGGTCATCTTGTTTGTACTCAACTATCATCACTTCCTCAGCCAGCTGTGAAGTTTAGAAAATGGCACTGATTTTTAAATATATATATATACATATATATATTTCAAAAAGAAAGGGAGAGGGAGAGACAGAAACATCAATGATGAGAGAGAATCATTGATCAGCTGCCTCCTGCACGCCCCCTACTGGGGATCGAGCCTGCAACCCGGGCATGTGCCCTTGACCGGAATCGAATGGGGTCCTTTAGTCGGCAGGCCGATGCTCTATCCACTGAGGCAAACGGCCTAGGGCGGCACTTTTTTTTTAATATATATATTTTATTGATTTTTTACGGAGAGGAAGGGAGAGAGATAGAGAGTTAGAAACATCGATCAGCTGCCTCCTGCACACCCCCTACTGGGGATGTGCCCGCAACCCAGGTACATGCCCTTGACGGGAATTAACCTGGGACCTTTCAGTCCGCAGGCCGACGCTCTATCCACTGAGCCAAACCGGTTTGGGCAGCACTGACTTTTTAAACAAACATTTCTGATGAGCTCTGAGTAAACTCCAGACTCTTGGAACTGCAACCACACAGATCAATTGGGTCAGCCTACTTCTTATATTTTCTCCACCTCTATTTATGTAAACTTTTTCTTCTCACGTGTTTTTATTGATTTCGGAGAGAGGAAAGGAGAGGAAGAGGGATAGAAACATTAAGGATGAGAATCATTGATCGGCTGCCTACTGCACGCCCCCTACTGGGATCCAACCGGAAACGGGCATGTGCCCTGATCTGGACATCCCCGGTTCATGGGTCTACGCTCAACCACTGAGCCACACTGGTCGGGTATTTATGTAAACTTTTCCCACCTACCGATTCATCTGAGGGCAAAACTGTCTAATTTACATAGAACCCCACGTTGCTTTTGACTTGGAGTCCACTTCCCCTGGACTAGGCCCCCTCACCTGGCACCCTCGCCTCTCACCCCGCGTCTGGGGGGTCAGAAACAATCCCCAGGTCAGCGTGGGGCAGTTTAGCTCACCCGTGCTTCCCTTCGCCTGTCCAGAGCGCCTTCCGAACCGCACCTGCATCTCTGCCGAGGTGCCCATGGCGCTCTGAGACTGGGAAAGGCGACTGCGAGGCGGGGCGCTGCAGCCTCTAGCCTGCAGTGTTTGGAAATGCCGCTCAGTTGCTTAGCAACGCCGCCGGAAGTGACGGCAGCTGCCGCTGAAGAACGAGGAACCGGCCGCTGCGGGCTGAGGCTGGAGAACCCAGGCTGCGCCTGCGCGAGAAGCAAAGGCCGGTGGCAGAGCGGGGCGTCCCCACGGACCGGCGCGGGGGCACTCCGCGGGAGCAGGGCGGAGGCTCGCACAGCTGCCGACTCCTGACCTGGGCCAGTGCGGGGAGATCCGGGGGCTCGGGCTGGTGCCGCCATCCTCCTCCATCACGGGCCTCCCGCGGGACGACCCCTCCTATCCCTGCCCTACCTTCCCGGCGGACCCGGCAGGTGTGTGGGGAGCGGGGCCCGGGCTGGTGTGTGCGGCCCACGGTGTCCTCGCGCGTGGAAGGGGAAGGGCCGCGCTCTCCCTTAGCCATGGGAACGCAGGGGTTCGTTGACAGAAAATCGATGTTTACCTACTTTAGTTTCTAGGGCGTAATTCGGGCCAGATGGGGCTAGGTTTTTTAAACATAAGAAGGTGAAAACTTGGATGTTGTCTCAGAACGTTCATATGCGGACCTTTAATGTATTTAAATTGCTTGGTAAATACAGTAAATTGAATGTATTTGGAGCATCAACCAGACCTCGAAGGACACCAGAATCTGTTAAGAGTGGGTGCGGGCTTGGTCTCAGAAGATACTTTTTCAACACATCGAGGTGGAAATGATTTCCTTACAAGCTAGTGGGCTGCAATGCGTACTTATTAGGCACCAAATCGGAGTTGTTCAAAATGGAAGGAGTAACATTTTCAATCACTGAAGTTCTAAAGTAGTTGTACTGTTTTTCTTCAGGTTTTCTATCAGATGTTCCACCGTAAGAATGCTGGTAAGTATGAAAGGGGTTAATAAAATACTTGGTTTTGTTGTTTATTTGTTTTTGGGAGGCACAGTTTTTAAAATGTCAAGACCTGGGAAAGAGATTCCACCCTGCCTGCATGCTAGCAACACCTGCCACAGTTTTGTAGAAGCTGCAGGCCCCTGGATCAGAGATGAATTACAGCAGGAGCGGTAGTCGTAAGAGCAACAGTTTTACCCCGGCCCCAGAGTCAGAAGTCACCTGCACACGGAGTTAGGCTTAAGGAACCCAAATCTTTATTACAACGAACAATAAGCATTTCAAGGCTACATGTCTTATTTAAGCAGTCCTCAATTCTTGGATGTCTATGTAGTTTCTAGTTTCCATTAGTTAAAAGCACACAGGTTATTGTTATACTATGGAAACATTGCAGATATACAAAATATATATACTGCTCCAGCTGTGGGAGAGAATAGTTAATAACTATTTTGGGAATTTTAACAGATTGGTTTCAAAATAGATTCACATTCTTAAAATTGGATGTTTGTGTATGTCCTTAATTTTTGAGACTTTTATTTCAAGTATGCCAAATCTTTGAATGCTTATTGACAACAGAATGTAGTATTGGTCTGTTATTGAACAAACAAAAAGAAAAAGTGGAATTTGTAATTCTCAATGTAATCAGTGTAACACTTGTGATTGTATCCACCAGGTAAAAACCTATACTTACATAGCATTCCGTTTTGCATTTAAGGTTTGTGTTTAATCAAGATTTTGTTTTTCTGTTGCCAATAGGTGTTTTTCTGATGTAAGAAAAAATAGCAGCATAAGAAAACAAATTTTAAAGTATCTTAAATAAACTTTCATTAATTTTAGGAGTTAAGAAGTCTCTGTTCCTTTGCTCCAAACCAGAAGACTTCGTTGCCTGCATATAGAGTAGGAGTAATGTTGGTTAGAAACGGGGTGGTGTTGAAAACTGAAGGTTGTCATGACTATTTAACTCTGTGCTGAAGTACGGTTAATTGTCTTGGAAATACTTAGTTGGGTAAGTATTTTTAGTAAAGGTTTATGTTGAGTGGTGAAAAAAATGAATATAAAAATATATGAAATTAAGAAAAGTTCACTTTTAGATAGAAATTAATAGCAGTTGCACTATATTAACTTCAGGCTTATGACATATCTTAGTATTTTTAGGTCAATAGTTCAGGAATTTTAGTAACTTGTAGCTAATTAAATCTAGGCTTGAGGAAATTTTTAACCAATGAGTTATACTTGAAAAAAATTTTAAATTCAGAATGCTTAAAAATCATATTTAATTTAAAATATGCCTAGGTACAGTCCTAATGTAATTGTCAACTATGCCTTCTTGCTATTTATTACATTGTTTCTATAAAAGTGAATTCTGCACTTAAATCTCTGGGAGCCAGTCAGAGGCAACTGGGTTAGGCATTTGGAGATTCAAGGATACAGAGTCCAGGATATTACAGAGTGGGGCAAAAGTAGGTCTACACAGTGTTTATTCTTGTAGTATTATTGATTAATTATTGTATTTTTCATACAAACAACTGTAAACCTACTTTTGCCTTACCCTGTATATATCTAAATTCACACAGCAGGAGATACCATCTAGAATAATTATTCTCCAGATATTCTAAATTGAGAGACATTGAATACTTACTCTTATATGGGTAATGACCTCTACTCTGTTTCACCTGCTGGCTATCTATTTTCTTTTTAATATATATTTTTATTGATTTGAGAGAGAAAGTGGGAGGGAGAGAGAGAGAAAAGCATCAGTGATGAGAGAGAATCATTGATCGACTGCTTCCTCCACTCCTGCACACCCCCTACTGGGGATCAAGCCAACAACCTGGGCATGTGCCCAGACCAGGAATCAAACTGGGACCTCCTGGTTCATAGGTCAACACTCAACCACTGAGCCACACTGGCCGGGGCTGCTGACTATTGTAATAAACCAGAGAGTACATGTGGTTAAATGCCATGTTTTCCTTTATATATATATTGATTTCAGAGAGGAAGGGAGAGGGAGAGAAGGATAGAAACATCAATAATGAGAGAGAATCATTGATTGGTTGCCTCCTGCACGCCTCCTACTAGGGATCGAGCCCACAACACAGGCATGTGCCCTTGGCTGAAATCGAACCCGGGACCCTTCAGTCTGATGCTCTATCTACTGAGCCAAACCAGCTAGGGCTCCTTTTTTTATTTTAAATTAAATTTATTGGAGTAACATTGGTTAATAACATGTTTTCCATTTTTATTTGTCTCTTTTTCATTTGTGGGGTTCTTCACTTTTCTTTGTAGAATTTCTTGCTAAAACCTCAGAATGGTTATGAAGTAGATCACAAAGGTACTATTATGGGTAGTGTGTACTTTAATGAATGTTTTCAATTAATTAAACCTTTTTTTGTTAAAATGACCTTAGTATTTTATTTTTAAACTGATCAATAATCTTTAAATACTGTATTCTATTTCTTAGACGCTAGTGTGGTTCTTAAAAGCATGAACTTTGAAGTCAAGCAGACCTGAGTCAAAATTTCAGCTCTGCCATTTAACTAATACTTAACCAACCTATCTAATACTTAGGCACTAGTTTACATTTCTTTAAGGTGAGGAAAATTCCTACTTAATAGGGTTATGATAGTTAAATGAGATAATTATAAAGTTCTTAGTTAAGTGTATGGTGAACTCTCTAAAAATATTACTCTTTTTAAAATGTTCTATACATACTAATTATAGTTTTTATTTGGATAATCTACTGTATTATTATTTTTACATGATAATTTTCGTTCATACCATCTCTTAACCAATTTATTCTTTTCTCTTGAGATGTATAATTGACCTTTATTATCTTTTTTTAAAAAAATATATTTTCTTGATTTTTTTTACAGAGAGGGAGAGGAATAGAGAGTTGGAAACATCGATGAGAGAGAGACATCAATCAGCTGCCTCCTGAACACCCTCTACTGGGTACGTGCCCACAACCAAGGTACATGCCCTTGACCGGAATCAAACCTGGGGCCCGTCAGTCCGCAGGCTGACACTCTATCCACTGAGCCAAACCGGTGAGGGCCCTATATTATCTTTTAAAGTAAAAGATTTAAGTAATTGTCATATTTTAAGCAATGTGATTACTCAAGTATGCCCAGATTATTTGGCACTCTGGTCAGGGCATATACCTAGGTTGTGGGTTCGATCCCTGGTCGGGCGCATATAGGAGGCAACCAATTGATGTTTTTCCTCTCACATTGATGTTTCTCTCTCTCTCCCTGGCTTTCTCTGTCTCTCTCTTCCCTCCCTTTCCCTTTTCTCTGAAATAAATAAGTAAATAAATAAACGTAAAAATTTTTAACAAAAGTTACTACTAGTCCAGAAGAACTAAACTAACCTCCACTTCAGGTGATTAGTTTAGAATTTCAAGTACAGCATCCTGTAACCATTTAGTTTTAACATTGGCACTGATATTAGAAATTGATTTCAAGCTAAACACTTTTTTTTTGTTCGCTATTAATCACCATTACACAGGCCAACATACAATAACCAACTTGAGGTTTTTTAATGTGATTGCTAATGTTTGTTGCAGAATACTTCAAGAGTAGGACAAATAGCTGATTGGCCCTTGGAAATCCAATCTCCTTATATCAAGCTGAAGTGAGTGAAAGTAGACTGTGCATTGAAAATGCTACAAGATTATAGGCCAGACAACTTCAATGAAAGCAGTGTGCTTTTATCATTTCCCAACATTACAAGAGAACTCACCACCAACTAGGAGCTATTAATCAGAAATAAGAACTATTATTAAGCACATTTCCTACCAATTAGTGATGTGAATCCTCTTCTCCTGTTCTGCTGGTTTGCTCACTATGCAATCCTTTCTTTTTCTCTTTCATCTCTACCCATTATGAACCCAATGATCTTGCTCTCTCTCTTTCCTGTATGGTAGAAATGTTTCTGTACTGTGCAATTTAATACTTAATGATATACTGTTTTGTGTTAGTCTCTAATTGTTTTAGATGTGCTTTGTATTCGCAACTAGATTGTAGACCCTGAGGGTAGGACCATGTGTCATATTTCTTTGTTAATGCTTTTTTTTTTTTAAGAGAAACATCAATGTGAGTGAAACATAGATTAGCTGCCTCCTGCACATCCCCTACAAGGGATCGAGCCAGCAA